AGAAAAAAAACAAATTTTTTTGGTTCTGAATTTGGAGATTAAGACTAACGTATGTGTAACAGTAGCAATCTGGGTGGGGAAAGTAGTTCACTACTACAGACCTTACAGTTATTAGAACATGTGACATTATAAGTGTGTTTTGTTCTTAGTTTATACACTTAAAGGCTGAAACCAAATAGGTCTTAAATCCACATCATTAGTAAAAATAAAAGGCCTAACTAATAAATACACACAGTCATACCTAAATCTAGATTTTTTAAATTTTTTCTTGGTTATTGACACGGGCGGTTTCTCAGAATAATGCAAGCGTAATCTTATTTCAGTCTGACACGTCAGCCATCCAGAATCGAGAGTTTCAACACCATCTGGCAGAGTAAATATGAAGAACAGTAATTATTATACATAATTTTTGGAACAACCCAATAAGTACCAATGCATATTGACAATTCTGGTTCACATTCACATTTTAATACATTGAAGTTATGTAACACTGGTACTTTTCTCCCCCAAAACAAATATGCAGGCAATCTTAAATTTGTCATTGAAAAAGAACTTTTATGTGAAGTAGGGGGAAAAAGTTAAAGGAGTATTAACAATTAGCTATGCTTTAGCAACTTAAGTAAGTTAAAATATTCATACTGAATCCATGATTAAAATAATATAAATCTATTTCAGAAATGACACACATTCCAAGATAGCCTCTAACCTAGCAATTGTTCTCATGGGAATTATTATTATACTCCCCAAGCTTCACATGAGATATTTAACTAAAACTAGTTATGCCACTAGTACTGGTAGTTTGAGATATGAGAACAAAATTGCAAGTCAATTCTGTATTCTCACGTTTATATATTGTCATAAATAAATTGCATGATTGTGATGACACTGTGTAAGCATTAACTTGAATGAAGTTACTGGCTGGGAGCGGTGGCTCATGCTTATAATCCTAGCACTCAGGGAGGCCAAGGCGGGAGGACAATTTGGGCTCAGGTGTTAGAGACTAGCCTGAGCAAGAATGAGACCCAGTCT